GGCTTCCCCAATGAGCATGTTGTTGGAGTCATTATATGAGCCAAGAGCCTTCAATGATGACATAGAATCAGTAATGATGATAGAGTCAAGCTCAGTGTCATAGGTTAGCTTTAGCGCCATTAGGATTGCAAACAATTCAGTTTGCAGTGTAGACGCCCAGTTGTTAATTCTTATGCCTAACTCAACAAATTTATGGTTCTTAACTAGGGAGGTGGCAACAAGAGCAGATGCAGCCCTGCCAGAAGACTCCTGTTTAGATCCATCAGTGTATATAACTTGTGATAACTTGTTACTACCAGCTAGGTGAAAAATTTCTCTTGAGCATTTTGCTCTAACAAGAGATTTAAAGGAAGGGATTACTAGCAATGAGCTTCTGGGAGGGACTTGTTAGGTATGTGATATTAAATGAACACATCTTCCATGGAGGGGTGAAATGCTCTTGTTGCCTACAGTGATGCAGTTCATGCAGGTTATAAAACTTAATGCAATTGCACGTTTTCACAATCCATTTAGATCTGTGTGTATTTACCTCTAGACACTTGGTAAGATTTACTGTGACAGTGTCTGGTTCGTTTTTTCAACATTCTAATACCGAGTACAGTGTTAGTTTCAACAATCCTATCACTGATACTAGAAATACCAAGCTCCTTCCTCATGTTAAGAACTTTTGTAGATCTGGGACAGCCAAGAATAATCCTGAGAGCTTCATTTTGCATTAACTCCAAGGGTCGGAGAGAACTTTCTCTAGCTAATATCAACATGGGAGCCGCATAATCAATTAAGGACCTAACATAGGCTATGTACATCATTCTCACGATTCTCACATTAGCACCATAGTTGGGATTGTAGCCAGCAACAGCTTTGAGAGCATTTAGCCTAGCTTTACATTTCTTGTTTATTTTGGGGTATAGTGGATTTGTTAAAGGGTACATCTACACCAAGATATCTGTAAGTTTTAACGTAGCTAATGATTTCACCCTGCAAATAGATGGGTGGGGGATGTCGTTTGCTTGCTAATATCTTTGTTTAAGAGGAAGATATTATGAGGCCTAGTCGATTACAAATTGCTTGAACTTCATTAAGAATGGTATTCATCTTCTTATGCCCTGTTGTATGGATCATGATATCATCAGCATAGCTTATAGCTATATGTTTAGGTGAGGCAGGTAGAGCATTTAGGAGAGCATTAATCAGAATATTAAATAGCATGGGACTAAGAACTCCTCCCTGCGGTGTACCTAAAGACATTTCTTTAGAATCTCTTCTGAAGCCTTGGTAAAGGACAGAGGATACTCTATTTGACAGGTATCCTATTATCCAGCAGAGTAAGCTACCACCAATATTCATTTTGGCTAGTTCATGTAGTATAACGGTTCTGTTCGCAATATCAAAAGCAGATTTTAGATCAAGAAAAGTGGTAAAACTAGTAGAGGTGTGTGCAGTGAGAAAGGCGGAAATACAGTTCTGCACACTTTTACCTTTCATGAACCCATAGAGGTAGGGGGGAAGTTGATGTCTGATTCTGTAGTACAGTCTGTTAAGCATCATTCTTTCAAAATGTTTTACAAAGACAACTAGTTAAGGAGATCGGCCTAAATGTATCAGGCTGTTGGGGCTTAGGGATAGGCACAATGAGACTATTGGTCCAGGAAGTAGGAAGAACGCCCTCAATGTAACTGAGATTATACAGTGCCAACAATGGGTTATCAGGCACGTGCCTGAGAGTTCTGAGAATATCATAGGTTATACCATCCTCTTCTTGTCTTACGAATTTACTAACATTTTTCACTAAGGGGGTTTGAGGAGGTAGATCATGGTAACGAATATGATATTGTGGATATGGACTTCAGTAAGGCTTTCGATAGAGTTTTACATCAGAGGCTATTGAGGAAACTTAAGGCACATGGAATAGGAGGAAATTTTTTTTCTTGGGTAGAGGCATGGCTGACAAATAGGCAGCAGAGAGTTTGGCATAAATGGGGAGAAATCAGAATGGGGGCACGTCACAAGCGGTGTTCCACAGGGGTCAGTGTTGGGCCCGTTGTTGTTCGCAATTTACATAAACGACATAGATGAGAGAATAAATAGCGACATAAGCAAATTTGCTGATAACACCAAAATATGACTCACGAAATCGTAATGACACGATTGCAAACAAACCATACCACGGCGGGGATAGAACCCGCGATCAGAGAGTCTCAAAACTCCAGACCATCGCGTTAGCCACTGGACCAGCTAGTCACAATAAGATTCGTCCAACTAGGTATATTTCTACACCATAGGAAGGTTAGCATAGGCACTACTGTGACCACAAATGCAAGTTGGTGTAGAAATATACCTAGTTGGACGAATCTTATTGTGGCTAGCTGGTCCAGTGGCTAATGAGACGGTCTGGAGTTTTGAGACTCTCTGATCGCGGGTTCTATCCCCGCCCGTGGTATGGTTTGTTTTTTTAACACCAAAATAGGCCGTCCAATTCATTGTAATGGGGACACTAGAGCACTCCAGGATGATTTGAATAGACTGATGCAATGGTCGAAGAAGTGGCAAATGCAGTTTAATATAGACAAATGCAAAGTTGTAAATGTTGGACAGGAAAATAACCATGCGACATATAAACTAAATAATGTAGAACTTAATACTACTGATTGCAAAAAGGATTTAGGAGTTCTAGTTACCTGGAGTTTACCTGGAGAGAGTTCCGGGGGTCAACGCCTCCGCGGCCCAGTCTGTGACCAGGCCTCCTGGTGGATCAGAGCCTGATCAACCAGGCTCCTGTTACTAAGGTCTGGCTGCGCACGCAATCCAACGTACGAGACACAGCAGTAATCTAAAACCAAGACAACAGTGCATTAGTGTTCGCAATAGAACTAACATAATTCTTGGCTTCATATCTAGAATTATAAATAATAGAAGTCCTCAGGTTGTTCTTCAACTCTATATATCCTTAGTTAGGCCTCATTTAGACTATGCTGCTCAGTTCTGGTTTCCGTATTACAGAATGGATATAAATGCTCTGGAAAACGTACAAAGGAGGATGACAAAGATGATCCCATGTATCAGAAATCTTCCCTATGAGGATATACTGAGGGCCTTGAATCTGCACTCTCTCGAAAGGCGTAGAATTAGGGGGGATATGATCGAGGTGTATAAATGGAAAACAAGAATAAATAAAGGGGATGTAAATAGCGTGCTGAAAATTTCCAACCAAGACAGGACTCGCAGCAATGGTTTCAAGATGGAAAAATTCAGATTCAGGAAGGATATAGGAAAGCACTGGTTTGGTAATAGAGTTGTGGATGAGCGGAACAAACTCCCGAGTACAGTTATTGAGACTTAAACGTTGTGTAATTTTAAAAATAGGTTAGATAAATACATGAGTGGGTGTGAGTTAGACCTGACTAGCTTGTGCTGCTGGGTCTGGTGCCGTGCTCCTTCCTTGGGTGGAGGTGACTAGACTGGGTGGGTCATTGGGCTAATCCGGGGGGTCGCATGGACCTGCTCCGCATGTAAGTGATGAATGGTTTGAAAAACCGACAAGTTGAAAATTGAGACACTTATGCAACATATGGGAATCTTCATTCAGGAAACGTTTCGCCTTGGCAGACGATGCACCATCTCCCCAATGAAAAGCAGGGGTGTCACTAGCACGTTAAGAGACCATACAATAAGTGTCAGGGGCCCGAGACTGTTCAACTGCCTCCCAGCACACATAAGGGGGATTACCAACAGACCCCTGGCAGTCTTCAAGCTGGCACTGGACAAGCACCTAAAGTCAGTTCCTGATCAGCCGGGCTGTGGCTCGTACGTTGGTTTGCGTGCAGCCAGCAGCAACAGCCTGGTTGATCAGGCTCTGATCCACCAGGAGGCCTGGTCACAGACCGGGCCGCGGGGGCGTTGACCCCGGAACTCTCTCCAGGTAAACTCCAGGTAAACAACCTTTGGACGAAGTCTTACTTCAACTAGTGGATGGTACCACTATGACCCCGCCTCCTGCTTCGCTTCACCTCTCTAGAGTATATAAGCCATGTCCACGGCCCTATGCCGTACATTCTACAAGATTGATGGACTGAACACATCGACTCCAGGCTGAGGGACTGATTACCTCAAACTCCTCCTCTCCTTACTCATTTCTACTTTGTATTGGACTGATGAAGCCACTGTGTGGCGAAACGTTTCCTGAATAAAGATTCCCATATGTTGCATAAGTGTCTCAATCTTCAACATGGGTCAGTAAGCCTGCTGCAGTGTTCCTTCTTTTTTATGTTCTTATGACTACGTGCAGCCAGCAGTAACAGCCTGGTTGATCAGGCCCTGAGCCACCGGGAGTTCTGATCGTGGACCGGGCCACGGGGGCGTTGATCCCCGAAATACCCTCCAGGTAGACTCCATGTAACCCAAATGATCATTTTCTACAGGAAAATTAATACTTAACATGAAATAGTCATGTGTTCTGTATGCTCATTAGTTTTATTTATTTTTGTTATATTAAAGGTATCCAAGAGTCGTTCTCTGATGCTCAAATAACCTACATTGGTAATATAATGGAAGAGTGAGACACATCACAAGGTGATATAAGTGGTGATGATGGCGCTATGACAAACTTGTGTTGTGCACTTTTCAGAGATCTGTGCACACATTTACTAACACAAACTTATTATAAATCATATCACGTTGCACTTACTGTTAGAATTACAATACAACTTTTAAAGAAACCCATCCTAACAAACGCGAGATAAATAACATTACTGTGTGTGGTGGCAACGACGGGGAAAGGGACAACCTTCCAGCAGCGAGGGACCATACAGGGTATATACGCATGTGTATATCTCACTGTATATACATTGAGTTATTCTTTTAATCAGTTTTATGGGATTACAGTATTCGTAATGTTGTTTTACAGGGAAACTGCATCCTTATTAACCCAGGTGGGGCCAGTAGGCTTCAAACCTAACAAAGTAACAAGTTATTGCGGGAGAGGCAATGTTCATGTTGCCTCTCCGGCCGTCACTACAACTACAACTGTCTCAGTCACTCAGCTGCCACCCTACATGTAGGATGTCTATCAGCAGTGGGGATAGTGATGAAGGCAAGTCTTCAGAGAATGGCGCTATCTTTTTCAAGACTGGAGTTCAGAACCAGTCTGAAGAGAACAGGGTAAGTTTGATTAAAAGTACAGTTTTCGGGGTATTTCATTTCATTTTCTGTATTAGTGATTTTTGTATGGCTTTAAGTTTAGCTATATAACCAACATAATGCTGGACATGGTTAAATATACCTGATAAGAGACTAGCAGAATGAAGGAATTGTATTTTAGCTTTTTACTGAATAATTGATAACTATAGCCAGTCATTCTCTATGCGATAAAGATTAAAATTTAAAATGTTCACAAACTCTACATTATCATTTGTGTGGTAAGGCAGGTGCGTAATAATTGTTTAAACTCTTATAGTACAATGATTATTACGTGAGGTCATAGTGTGAATTAATAAAGGCCGTTTAATGGGTGGTGTTAAAACTACCTAGCGAAAATTCTCCGTGAAACTTCCATTCTATGTGATTGAACATAGTATGGAAACCGTAGTGTAATGGATGTTATGCAAATAAAGCCCCAGTGAAAATCATAAATCAGGATAGCCACGTAAGTGTATGGATCGCAAAATAAGCTAACCAACTAACTAATAGTGATTGTAGTGGATGGCTGTAACGTGGTTGTTTAAATATAACAAATAACTCTTACTTCTGAAGGTTAGGTTAGGTAATGTTTGTCAGACAACAGGATACGTTTCCAGACGCAGGTCTTAGTCATACGACCCGCAAATGGAGCTTTTGGTCCTCTGATAGTTCAGCCATCAAAACTTTGGAGCCCGGTCCCTGGACCCATTGTAATCTGTAAATACCTTTGTAACTTGTCATGATTGTGACTAGACCTACCTGGAGTTCATTACCTTTGTAAATTGTGAGTTCATTACCTTTTTAAATTGTGAATTCATTACCTCTGTAACTTGCTCAGCTATCAAAACTTTGAGGCCCAGTCCCTGGACCCATTATGTACCTCTGTAATCTTTTGACTACCGCCCACAGGATGGGTATGGGGTGCATAATAAACATATTAAACATGATAGAGGCCTTCCGCTGCCTTTCCCGTCCACCCTTCAAAAATTAAGGTTATAATTATAACTATTTTGCCTATTAAATGACTAATGATTTGTATTTCCCACCCCACAAGGTGGCTATTTGGGACCCCCTCGTTCCTCGAATCGGTTCCGATTGTCTCCCATTCCATGGACACTTTGACCCCCAAGGGTTTAGCTCTTCTCCATGAATGTAAAACGTGGTACGGAGACAGTGTTCCCTACATATAGCAGGTCAGAATGTGAAACAATGTCAATCTGATTCCATTAAGGAAAATAGAAATATTCAAAGGTTGTATAATACACGGGGAGTAAGACTGTTGAATTAATTTGTACAGTACATTGACTCTGAAGACGCTAATAACTATAGTAATTTGTGTGGGAACAGCTTTTGTTGTTGAGCTGGTTAATGTGGCTGCAGTACTGGTTATGTTGAGAAGAAGAGGTTATGATGGCTGGAGGTTGTGGTGGTAGGAGGGCGACTGTAAGTGGTGGAGATTGTATTAGTGGGGTGGAGATTGTAAGTGGTGGATTTTGTGTTGGAGGGAGGTGGTTGTTGTGGTGGGAGGGAAACTATTATTGTGGTATGCCTGGAGGGGGTTTCGGGGATCAACGCCCCCGCGGCCCGGTCCGTGATCAGCCCTCGCGGTGGAGCTAGGCCTGATCAACCAGGCTGGCCGCACGTAAACCGGCGTACTAGTCAGTCCGGCTGGTCAGGTACTGACTTGAGGTGCTTATCCAGCTCCTTGAAGACAGCTAGGACTCTCTTGGTAATTCTCCTTATGTATGCTGGGAGGTAGTTGAACAGTCTTGGGCCCCTGACACTTGTGTTCTCTCTTGGCGTATTCATAGCTCCCCTGCTTGTCATTTGGGTGAGGATGTTTCCCTACCTGCCAAGTCTTCCTTTCGTAGGTAATGATTTCAATGTGTATATTTGGGACTAGTCCCTAAAAGATTTTCGTAGTGTACATTATAGTGCTTCTTTCTCACCTGTGTTCTAAGGAGTACAGGTCGAGGGATTTCAACCGTTCCCAGTATTTTAGGTGTTTTATTGTACTTATACGTGCAGTGAAAGTTCTCTATTTTCCAGGTGTGCAATATCGCCGGCCTTGAAAGGGGCCGTTAGTAGTCATTGTAGTGATAGGGAAGTTGTGGTAGGCGGGGGTTGCTACTGGTGGAGAAAACGGTGTTGTAGTATCCCAAATTTGCTCCTGGAGAAACATAAAGCATCTTTAGTACTCTAGTACTCTAAACTCTACCGAAGGGAACCACCCCAATAGTTGTTCCCTGCGTAAGGTAGGGAGAAGATTTCAGAGAAAGTCAGCACAGCTGGTCATTTTGCTGGGGGATAAGATTTTTTTCGGATTTTTAACTCTGAGGGTGTTAGTCATTCAATATAACACAAGCTCAGTGCATCGTAGTGAGGACTTATTTTGCATTTAGGTCCTTTAATCTTGTCCCCCAGGTTGCTACCCACAACAGTCTACTAACACCCAAATGACTACCTACTGTTAGGTAAACAGGGGCAGCCAGTGTGAGGAAACATGCCCAGTGTTTCCACCCGTGCTGGGGATCGAACCACGGATGCTGTGTGGGCTTGGTGTATTATCAACTGAGCCACAGGTACCATAAGGTTTGAACTTGATCGTTTTCTGGTCCCTAGTTTTAATCCAATACGTGTTTTCTTGAGCTTTCACCAATCTTATAAAAATGTGTAGGTCTGCAGAGGGTCAGCTTCCCCTCTCCCCCTCCCTCAGGATACTCTGCCAGTCACCGTCCCTCTGGTGATTACAAGGTGCTGGCTCCTGCTACAGCCAGAATCAAATCCCGGAAGGGATGTGCTAGGGGAGCCATGGCACCCCTTTTCCTGGGCCACAGACTTTTTTTGAAAAAAAAAATGCATACTCTTTAATTATTACTATTATATATTGACATTCAAAATCCATGAATTAGGAAACCACAGCTCCGGCGGCTGATCACCCCCCCCCCTCCCCCATCTCTTCCGTCAGTACAGGCAAGGATGGCCTCATCCACCCTGGGCAACTCCTGGATCCTTCCCCTGTGTGACTAAATTGGCAGTACTCTTCCCACGGAGGCTCACTGATTCTGGCCCTGTTAAAAAAAAAAAAAAGTTGTGAAGGAAAACTTATGCACACTGAAGTTTTTGAGGGCAGTTACCCCAGTGGTGGCGCCCAGCCTTAAAAGTACTTAGTTTGCGGCTTCATGACCACATAGATAATTGCAAACGTGAATAAACCTGTAAATTGCTTAAATGACTTGCTAGTGGAAGGCCAGTATTTTTTTTTTATTGGGCTGCCTTTGGATGTTACTCATTATAAGCAGGATGCCATCGACCGGGAATTCCATAAAGGTTGTAAATCACATTCGTGACTGCATCACACAGCCCAGTAACAAAATATTAACCCTCAAGTGCTAACTGGTAGAGGCTATGGACCTATCCCAAGACTTCGTAATAGCTTTTAGATTGCTAAGGGCAATCTGTACAGACATGTACTCTATTATTCATCTAGATGGGACAGCGGGGAACTGGTCTAGCACCAACGTATGTACTTGAATTTTAAATAGTATACTTGAGTAGGTTATTTATGTTAACTTTAATAAAAAAAAAAAGTTTTTAATATATGAAAGAGAGACTGCTCTGAAGCTCCGTTTCGTGTAGAAAATTATAAAATATAATTTTCTTGTGTATGTGATCTAGATAGTTTTGTACCGGTAATGATTACTCAAGTTTAAACAGTTTGTAGTAGCCATCTGTAAGGTATGGAGCAACTAAGAGTACTTCCATAACCTGTCATTTACCATCTCACAACTACTTCGCAAGCTTATAAAATGTATTAATCTTAATTCTTCTTTCTAGTTCCTCTGAAGCTCTGTAAAGGCACGAAATCGAAGTTTTTTTAATGGTGTTTTTGCAGTCATCCTCGTTAAGTGGCAGTAATACCAACGTGAGTAAGTTATACAGGGTTCCACAAGACTCATTTTGCCGCCTTCCTACACTAGGAACAGCCAAAGCAGTAGAGGGGACTGCTCGTCTGAAACCAAGCAAGGCATTCCTTACCCTCTGTCAGTCCTTGAAGGTTCCACTCCTGGCACTACCTTCCAAAAGTACCTTAGTTTAAGCTTTGCAATAGCAGGTAACTAAAATGTTTTCTGTAGACGAGAATCTAGTGCACGTCACGTAACCACCTGTGTTCAGAGGCTACTTCCTGACTTGTGTAGTTGACTATAAATAACTCCATAACCCCCTTAAGTTTATTTAGTCAGTAATACCAAGCTCAAATATTGGGTATTATAAATAACTTTTAACCAACATTGTAAAGTGTTAAAAAATTCATGTCTGCATAAACAGTAACTTACAATTGCAGCGCGATAATTAAACTTGGCTAGTTCATTACTACTAATTTGCTTAGCTGTGGAAACATTTTTAAAGGGGTGGACCGGTAAGCCAGCGGAAGGCCTCGGTCAGATGACCAAAAGCTCCAAAGGCGGGTCATCTGACTAAGACCCGCGTCAGGAAACACTTGTCCTGTTTCCTGACGAACCTTACCTAACCTAACTTGTGGAAACATTAAGACTAGAGTCCTTGGACCCATTGTGTATTACTTGGACTACTACCCACATGGGCATGGGCTGCACAATAAAGCTGTTTAACTAAGTGGCTGTTGAGTACAGTATACCTGGTGTTTCGGGGGGCTAACCCCCGCGGCCCGGTCCATGACCAGGCCTGGCGGTGGATCAGGACCTTATCAAACAGGCTGTAACTGCTGGTTGCACGCAAACCGACGTACGAACCACAGCCCGGCTGATCAGGCACTGATATTAGGTGCCTAGTCAGCTCCCTCTTGAAGACAGCTAGGAGTCTATTGGTAATCCCTATAATGTATGCTGGGAGGCATTTTAACTGTCAGTCCACATCTTCGGCATTTTAGCTGAAGTTTATGTAGGTATCTCGTGGAAATTGTTTGTTGTTGACAATTTAGAAGTATATTTTAACTGATAAGA